TTCTTGATAGATTTAAAACAGGAGTGAAAAAAGCTTTATTCTTCAATCAAGGGTCACTATTGCAGAAATATACAAAAGGCCACACATTAATAAAAGAACACCAGCCATTTTCAAAAACAAGCATCAAGGAATAGAACTCTTTTCAAACAAGCTGACCAAAAAAGCAAAAAGGAGCCAAAAAATGAAGCAATTGAAGAGTTATACAGATATATAAGATGTTTCCACTTATTTTAACAAATTATTTTGAAAGACATGAGGATAGAGTATATTACATTGCTGAGTTTCACTCTTAGCCTCAATCCATCACAAACAAATTAAACTTTTGCTGAACTTATTATTGGCCTGATAAACTTAAGCAAAGTCATGGATCTCTATTAGAAGACAGAGGTTTCCCACCTCTGGTATAAAAGACTTTTTTTTATTATTATTCCTAAAGCATAAGCAGAGATCTGTTCCTGAAACCTAACTTAGACTTTTCCTAAAATTATCAGTCCCTTTCTTGCAAATGCTTCTTGAAAAACTCAAACTAAAGTGTTGGACTCTATTGATAATAAATGTTTCAGAAATAAAGATAAAACATTACTTAAATTAGAACACAAGTGGCAATGTGTACAAAATACTTTTCAGAAAATATCTTTTTACTATAACTGCATGATATAAATGTGACTTTAAGGTAATGAGACTGATTTTCAGCTGAGATCCCCTAATTTACAGCCACATCTCACAATTATATTTATTATGATCTGACCCTCTAGCAGAGGATGGAAGTGAACCATTTTAGAAAAGAGTCTATGTAAACTAAACATAATAGAACTTTAAAAATAGAACGTGGGACAGTCTTTGTATATTAAAATTAATATAACTTTGAAAAATAACAGAATTTGACAAAGTCCTTTCACATCCATTCTTAGGTAATGATGGGGACATGGGAGAGACAGCTGGATTTGAAAGTCATTTCTGAGATGAAGTGGAATTGATCTGGTGACTGAATGGAGGGAGACTAGTATGTGAGAGAATATTGGAGATGGCTCTCAGGCTCTACTTTGTGTGGACTGTGGACAGGACAGGAACTAGAACAAACACACCAGATTTGTGCAACGTGAAAAAGAGTTCAGTTTTTCCATGCCTCTAGAACATTCATAACCAGGTGGAAGCAATGTCTAGTGGCCAGTTGGATACATAGGTAGGAACTCAGAATAAATACTATGGATTGTTTTATACATAACCTATGTAATAATCATTGATATTTGTAGAATACATTACATAATAAATGATATACACTAGTTATTAAGTTTTTTAATAATCATTGATATTTGTAGAATACATTACATAATAAATGATATACACTAGTTATTAAGTTAAGTTTTTAAAAAATCATTTATTATTGGGGCTGTATTGTGTATATCATGGCATTAGAAGGCTCCTAATATCATATCCAGGTTACAGAAATCAGGAGTAATACCTTGAATGGAAACTACCTCGTCCATAACCAAAAGGGTTTTGTTTGTATTGATTTTACAGCTTGCAGCTTTTATATATAGGTACTTGTTCATTAATCCCCATATTGGCCAGCCGCAAAAATTAATTAATTAATTTTTAATAAATAAATAAATTTATTTATTTATCTTTAATTAATAAATAAATAAAAAAAACCCAAAACAAAGATGAGCTGGCTGGTTAGTTCAGTTGATTAGAGCACAGTGCTCTAACACCAAGGTCGAGGGTTTGGATCCCCATACCAGCCAACTGCCAAAAAAAAAAAAAAAGAAGAAGAAGAAACCTTTCATTCCAGCTAAGGTACCACCTCTTGTAGTCACTTTTATTTCTCTCCTCTAAGCTTCCATTCAGAATGTCCTTAGATCCTTGCCATATGGGCTCTTCTAAATGATGGATTACTTTATCATAGAGTGCAAGCCAAAAATGCAAGCGAAAGATTCACAATCTTTTGTAACCTAGTCATAGAAATGACATCCCATCAACTTGCCTTATTCTTTTGGCTAGAACAAGTCAGTAGGTCCAGTCTATACTCAAAGGGAGAGGATCACACAAGGGCATGGACACCAGGAGTCATCAACTCTAATAAATGCTAATTCTCCTGTATGGAGTTATGTAATAATATACATGAATATGTCTGGATCCTTTAATTTGTTGGTTTCTCAGTGAAAGGTAACTAATCATTAAAGTGCTTGCTTAGAGCTTCATATAGTGCTGTGTGGTATGTATTCAAGAAATATATACTGACTGACAAATATAGAACAATATATGAAATATAAAGTATGTTTCTGTCTAAAGTTACTGAGAAATTCCAGTTGAGGCTTTGTAAAATGTGCTATTTAGCATCATTCTTCCAAAAGTGCCTTTAAAAATGATTCTCAAGGCTCCACAATATTTTTTTTTTACAAATACAAATTTCCCAACATCTGTCAAAGTGTAAATCTTAGAGTATTTTATGCTGAACTTACAAATGTGGTACTGAAGACAAGTATTTCTAATAGCCTGCCAAATTTCTGCCACATTGGAAAATATACAGATGATTGTTAAACACTGTGTGCCACTAGACAGGAATTATATTTCATATATTAATAAGAAAATACTTTCTCTTGGGGCCGGCCCGGTGGCGCACCGCTTGGGAGCGTGGCAGCGCTCCCGCCGAGGGTTCGGATCCCACATACAGACCGGTTCCCGCTCACTGGCTGAGCGAGGGGCGGGCGCAGCACCGAGGGTTGCGATCCCGTTGCCGGTCCCGGTCCGGTACGGGCGCGACACTGAGGGTTGCGGTCCGTTGCCGGACACGAAAAAAGACAAAAAGGAAAAAAAAAAAAAAAGAAAATACTTTCTCTTAAACTTGTTGCATAGAAAATTTAGTAATTCGAACCATTATAAATACCAACATTCACAAATAGATTTTCAATTCCACAAGAGTAGAATCTAAAAGAAACTTTCAGATTATAATTCTATCATTTTTTAAAAACCTGATTGCCAAAAAAAGAGAACAAAATCCATAATCCCATCACCAAGAAATAACTGCTATTGAATTTTTGTTTTATATGTATAGCTATATATCATTTTAGACATTTAAGTGTATATATGTTACCACAAATGAGATCATACTACTTTTTGTAGTGATACATGAAATTGTTCCAAAACAAAAATTTCCAGAGCAGCTGATTTTCAACAAGGCATTGCTAAACAAGGTTTCTAGTTATGGAAGCAGCAAGTTAACTGAGTGCTACGCAGAGGGACAGGTCAGTCCTACCATTGATAAACCTGTTGTCCTCAATGGAATGACTTATAAATCAGATGAGAGGCATGTGATTCATGCTGTAAGGTGTTAGCCATATTATTTTGATCATTCTTTTACTTCTTATCCTTCTGTAGCATTTTATTCTGTTAGGTACCCCCTCCATAAACTCTTTTCTCCCCGGTGTCTGAATCTGAAGTATTCATTTCTGAATCACTGAATTATTATTTGTTCATCTCAGAACAAATCTCACCTCTGAGGAATCTTTCTCTGCTATCTTTATCAGCTTTTCCTTCCCTCTTTTATCCAAACTAGTTAGCATAACCATTGACCCACTGTTTTCTTATTTTCATTACTTTCTCCCTCACCACCGCTTATGGCCTCATGGTTCCAATAATTAGTTCTATACTGGAGACTATTAAACCTATCTCACCTCACACTTATTGTGTATAAACTAACATCATCCACTTCCCCTCAAATTTCTTTCCACCTCCCCTCTTTCTCCAGTATTGTTTCTCTATCCCAGCTAATTCCTGGAATTATCTTCAACTTATTCCTCCCTTTATCCTATCCAATTTCTCTCTATTCAAACATGCTTCAAGATGTCTCCTAAATATGTTCATTTCTTTCCCCTTTCTTTGCCTCGATCCCAATCCAGGCGAAGACTGCCTCACAACTATACTTTAGCAACAATATCCTCAATGGGACTAGGGTTCTTCTGCCCCCATTACTTCCTAGGTTTCTGTAATTGTCAGTGAGATATAAGGAAAGGAGAACTGGCTTGAAATCTAGGAGCCCAAGGGTGAGTTCCCTCTAAGCCACCCCAGATGTAACCTTGAGCATATTTCTTTTTCTAGACCTGGGAGTTTCCTTATCTGCAAAGTGGCAAATTGGGCTGCCCACATGGGCTCTAGCTGCCTCACAACTCTAACAATATTCTACTCTGACACTTCTTTGCTTAAGGAATGACAATGACAACCTTTCTCCTCCCAGGATCACAGCTGTTACTTACTGTTTTCCAGCTTGCACTGTCCTTTACATCCAGTAATGAGCCCCAGTCTTTCCACTGTAGATGTCAGTTCCTTGTCTCCTTCATTCATAAAATATTCGTTTTACATTCATGGAGTGTTACTAATGTTTAAGGCACTTTGCTAGATCCTGCGAATGGCCAAAGACAAAATCCTTGCCCTAGAAGAATTTACCATCTTAATGGAGATACATACATACAGTAGTGGGGGGCAGAAAGCAGCATCATTTAAGGGGAACCTAGGAAGGCTTCAGAAAGGATGAATGGCCTTGAATGTCACCCCGAGGAGTTGGGGTTTTATCCGAGGGAAGGGTGGAGGACGGGCTGTACCTTGATTTAGACAACATTCCTGTCAGTTATTGGGAAAAGGTGGTTATTGGGCACTGAAACGGTCAAAGCTGATGGCAGGATAACCAAGTAGGGGAAAACGGTGGCCTTCCAAAAACTTTTCTGGCCCTTGCTTGGACCACTACTACGGTGAGGCGACCGATGCCTCACGGCCTCTTCCAGCTCACTGTCCTCCACTCGGTGTCTGCCTAGAGGCCACCATCGACCCTCGGCAGCAGCGTCACAGAGAGCCGGACCGCGCGAGGCCACGGGGAGGGCGCTTCCCGCGACGTCGCGAGATTTCCCGAGAGCCGCCGCCAGACCGGGAGCGTCCAGTCGCCCGGCAACGGCCCCTGGGCCGCGCCTGGACCTAGGGCGGGCGAAACTTATCAAACCGGAGTTACCGGCCCGACTCGTCCTGCGAGCGGTGAGGTGCCCTCAGGGAAGAAGCTTGGGGACGGAGGAAACCCTAGAGCCATATTTCTCAAACTCGCCTGCCACTCGTACTTTCCTGGGTCACTTGCTAAAATGTAGATCCCTGGGCCCTATATCTAGACATCTAGAACTTCCAGAGAAAGTCTGGAAGTACGTACTTTTAACAAATGGCTGGGATCAGGCAAGGTTGACAGCTGTACAAGGTGGAGACACGGGTGGAGGGGTGGCCGCGGGGCTGAAGGAGCGAGATCCAAGGGCGGGGATCTCAGTTTTGAAAGAGTTTTGAAAAGCCTTAGGACTGGAGCGGGCGATTTCGAGCATCTGGAAGCCACTGAGCCTGGGACTCGCTAAGTGGAAATGTAGGTAGTTAGAACTAAATTCAGAAAACTGATGTCCACCGCATCTGGCCTGTGGGAGCCCAGGGAGATGAAAGCCAAGGAGTTGATTAAAGTCCATTCCCAGAGTACCTGTAAAGCACCTCTAAGCTGTCCCCACTGGCGATCTGGAAAGAGAAAGATATCCTAACAAGCGGATATCTAGTGGGGGAAAATTATGGAAAAGCAGTTTCTCAAACTTTAGAAAACAATGAAACTCTTTTAAAAGAAAACCAAGGATACCCACAAGGGTTGACATAATTATTTTTATTATGGGGCCGGCCCGTGACTCACTCGGGAGAGTGCAGTGCTGATAACACCAAGGCCCCAGGTTCGGATCCCATATAGGGATGGCTGGTTGGCTCGCTGGCTGAGCGTGGTGCTGACAACGCCAAATCAAGGGTTAAGATCCCCTTACCGGTCATCTTTTAAAAAAAAAAATTTTTTTATTATAATGTTTTAAAATGTATCCAAATCCACATTAGGTTCAGTATAAACGTCTGAAGCTTATAATTTATCTAAAACTATAAAACTACAATACCAATAAAGTTTAAATTAATATTATTTTAACAAGATGAATGTGGTATTTTGATGAAACTAATCCTCTCTTGAGGACTGCTGCAGTGCAGGTTCTTTTGAGTTAACAAATCTCTATTTTGTGTTGTGGGTTGTTTCAATTCTCCCCCTTTTCATATTCAAGTCCCTGGAAAGTTTTCCTATACTTTGCTGATAAGGTCCATGAAGACAGCATAAAAAACAAACTAAAAAAGGAGGCAAAACAAGTCACAATCTGGGAAAAGATATTTGCAACACATAATCAGTAAAATATTAGTATCTGATAGACATGTGTGCGTTCTAAAGATTACTTATAAAAACACAACCCAATAGGAAAAATTGATGAGATATAAGAAATAGCAATTAACAAAAGAGGAACTCCACCTGGCCAATAAATAGGAAAATACTCTCAATCTCTCTAGTAATTAGAGAACAGATAATCAAAATACAATGAGATATTATTTTACACCCATCAGCTTGGGAAGAAGTTAAAGAATGCCAATATCAAACGTTGACAGTGGTGTAGACCGCATTGTAGAGCAATGGGAACTCTTACCTGCCAGTGGTCCCTTGGAGAACAATTTCGCAGTATATAGTAAAGTTGAAAATGTGCAACCCAGAAGTGGCCTCTCCTAGTTTTAAACCTTAAAGAAGCTCTTACTTATGTGCTAAAGGTGACATATACAAGAATCATAAACGTAATATTGTAAAAACTAAACCATGGATACACCCAAAGATTGATCATCAGGAGAAATAAATCTCTAACAATAGAACACTAGACAACAGCATAAATATTCTAGAGCTACACACATCAACACAGATGACTCTCACAAACAAAATATTAAGCAGAAAAAAAAAGCTGGAGATGATAATATGAATGGCATGTAAAATTTTGAAAAACAGTACTGTGTATCATTTAGGTATATATATACATCTGTAGTAAAAGTATAAAGACACGAGTGGGGATGCTTAAATTTAAGATAAATCCTAAATTTAAGAGACTGAAGAGAAAGATATAGAGGGATTTCAAATATATTTGTAATGTTTTATATTTTAAATTGACCTGTGGGCCCATGAGTTGTTATATTATTCTTTACACTTTTATGAAAAATTTTATGTAATATTTTCAAGGCAAGATTTTTAAAAGTTATTTTTACTTAATTAGCCACTTTGTTCAGAGTATTATTGTCATAAAATGCAATCTGAAAAGGTAACAATAAACCTAAAATTTTGTTATAAAAGTAACCACAAATATATGCAAATTCTAAAAATCTATGAAGATTTTAAAATTTTATTCTGTAGATTATATTTTGCATTCTGATGACTCTTAAGATATATATCTTCAAATATTTTACTGGGGGCAATTTACTATAACATAGTCCGGGTAATAATATGCCAGTGTGTGAGGACACAGATTTAATTTATCATCTCCTGAATTCATTTTTCCTCCTAAGCCCTGATTTCATGTCCAGAATACTGCACAAATTGAGATATCTGGTTGGTGGAAATTCCACATACATTGGAATATACAATTAGGAAAACTGGGATGTTAATCACTTAAATAGCTATCCTTCCTACATGATTAAAAAAAATAGGTTACCTCAAACTACAAGAGAGGAGAAGATTTAAAAGTAAAAGTGAATGAGTATTGTGCATTTAATTAATTTTGGTGTTTTAAATCTTTTTATTAAAAAAGTTAAATCTATTAACTTAGAAAATACCTCAATGTCCTCAAAAATATCTATGAATTATCAAATAGTTTTATATAGGAAAACTAAAGAGTAAGTCAAAATAAATTTTCCTAAATTGCTATGTGATATCATAATATTCCTTTTTTTCTTTAATTTTTAGAAAGTTGAAAATAAACAATACCTAAACCTGCTTCTTGACATGGTATCAGAACAGAGTTATTGCTGAGAGTTTGATTTATAGAGAAATCATGGTTCGACTGACCTTGGATCTAATTGCCAAAAACAGCAATCTTAAACCCCGTAAAGAAGAAACCATTTCACAGTGCCTGAAGAAAATAACTCATATAAATTTTTCAGACAAAAATATAGATGCAATTGTAAGAACTCTGAAATTATTTCCTCTTATATAATTAACGGTATAAAGTTTAGAAGTTGGTTTGAGGGTGTACTTAATATATTAACAATATTCTGATTATACTTATTAAATATATTTTTATCAGTAAGCTTTATATTATGTTTTCATTTTAATTTCTTACTTATGATATTAAACTTATTAAAATTAAGTCTCTATAAAGTATAGCACTGATTTTTAAATATATATATGTTACTTATATATGTTACTGTTCCTCTACAATACTCTATAATGTAGCAAACTAGAATTCACAACACATGCCAGAAAATAATTTCAGAGATAACTAATTTTGTATTATTCCAGAGCTTTGGAATATAATTTTTTTATATTTATCAAAATGTTAACAAGTAACTAAGTAAGTACCATCTTTCAAAAGTTTAACATTGAAATCTTTTTTGCACATAATTCAACTGGTTATGTAAATATATGTTTATATGTATGTTGTACTGGATCAGTTATATCAGACAAGATTATGTTTACTTGGATATATTCCAAAACTGCATTTTTCTCAATGTTAAGGTAATTCTTCACTTTAATTTGGGAAACGTTAAAGGCTGCAGTGATCTTCTTAGGCCATTTGTATTAGTATTTGTTGTCAACAATAAACGCTAAGGACTATAGATGAGAAGTTTTCTAAAACCTTGGAAGCTACTTGAAGGCAGGATCATGTCTATTTTGTTCACATCATTCTAAATCCCCCAATCGATATAATGCCTGACTCATTTTAAGTGCTTAATAAATATTTATTGAATGAATGAAGCTCCAGGCAAAATTGTCAATTCAGAAATGCTCATTTTTGTGCAGAGACCCAACCCAGCTTCTATTCTATGTGCCTTTCTGGTTTGCTGCTGATCCCTCTCCCCATGAATCCAGCTGCCCAAACTTTATGTTTCTCTTTTGTTGCCACGAGTTCTCTACCTCATTATACCATATACAGGGTGCTTTCTCCAGAGAGCCCCCATTTCATGCTATTTTGTCCTCACATCAATCAATACTCCAGCATGGATAAACTTTGGTAGGAGGAAAGCGAAAAAGCAAACTGGTGAAAGTAATTACACTAAAGTGAGACTAACTTGTAAGCTTAAAATGCTATTTTGTCCTCACATCAATCAATACTCCAGCATGGATAAACTTTGGTAGGAGGAAAGCAAAAAAGCAAACTGGTGAAAGTAATTACACTAAAGTGAGACTAACTTGTAAGCTTAAAATTCACAAAATTTGGCTGTATAACCTAATGAAGGCAGGGATGTTTTTGAGCAGAAATTCACTCTACCTCTTGTCTGCTTACCCTAGGCTGCCTCAACTACCACACAAGAAATGACAGCCTTTTAAAAATACCTCTATTTTTTATCTCATAAGTAATTGGTGTTAATTTTTATAAAATACATTTGAAAAGAATGTAGTCCTACCATTCAGAGATAACCACTTTTAACATTTAGAAGACGTCCTTCCAGTCTTTTTTTTCTAGGCATGTATTCATATAATTTTAAAATAGTGTGTCATATTGAATGTACTGAATTATGTATGTAATTTCACTTAATTATGTATCATGAAATCTATAAGATATTACTAAAGAAGCTAAAGGATATTTAATGATTTTACAGTATTCCCTTCAATAGCATTATTATAGATTTTTTTATTAATCCATTACTCTTGAATATATAGATGACTTCCAAATTTCAGTATTACAAAAAACAGTTTACTTTCAATCCTACAGAAAGATTAAGCCCTGATTGAAAATGTTAGGGCAATAATTTGTTTAAATGCATTAATTTGTTTAAATGCATTAATTTGTTTAATGAGCCTAATTGCCTACAAGGAGAACTTCTTGCACTGGGAAAATCTTTTCAACAAATACAATTTTATTGATATAGTTACAGAATACTAAAGCCTAGAACTTATTTTGTAATCATTCTAGTCTTGTTTTAACTGTGCTAAAAACAGAGAAATTCTGTTCTTTTAAATTAACCTTAAGGAAATTTGCAGAATGTTCAAGTGAAAATCTTTCTTAAAAACAAACTTCTAAATTTTCAGGAGAAATTAAATATGACCTGTTTTTGTTTTCCTTTTAGGAAGACCTCTCTCTTTGCAAAAATCTTAGCGTTTTATATTTATATGATAACCGAATTAGTAAAATTGCTAACTTGAATTATGCCACAAATCTAACCCATCTATACCTACAAAACAATTGTATTTCATGTATAGAGAACCTCAGGTCATTAAAGAAACTGGAAAAACTGTAAGTGCTTTTCTTTTTAAGTAAGATAATTGTCATCATTATCGTACTTATATTTTATGAAAATTGAATATGAAATTGAGTCCAAATCTGACATTGTTTTTGTGAACAAGCCTCAATTTTTATTCCCTTGTTCTATTATTAACACAAAAGAAATTGTTTTAGGGCCGGCCTGGTGGCGCACTGGATAGTGCGCCGCTTGGGAAGCGCGGCGGCGCTCCCGCCCGAGGGTTCGGATCCCACATACGGACCGGTTCCCGCTCACTGGCTGAGCGAGGCGCGGGAGCAACACCGAGGGTTGCAATCCTGTTGCCGGTCCCCGGTCCGGTACGGGGGCAACACTGAGGGTTGCGATCCATTGCCGGACACGGAAAAAGACAAAAAAAAAAAAAGAAATTGTTTTACATGTAATTTGTATTTTATTAAGCCTGAAATGCTTTTCTTTTCTGGTTGGGTGAGTTGGCTTAAGGACTTATAGGGCCATGTAAAATATCCTCATGTAGGCTAGTGGTGAAAAAAGTTTCCATGGAATCTAGATGAGTTCTGTCCCTTTAGAGTCACACATCTCAAAAAGTCAAGGTGATAGAACTGATAATGTTGATGTAGATTTGATTGTAAAAAGGCATTTACTGCCTATAATGGTAATAATTAGGCAATGAAGAGTAGTGGAACCAATTTCCCCAGACTGGAATAACCATCCTGCTTCCCAAAAAGTGGGCCAAGGGCCTCAGAATAGGGATGCAAGAGTGGGGTAGAAAATAATTATTAAAAAGGCAGACTACTTGGTTTCAACCTAGATATCCAAATTAGAATCTCTGGGGGTTAGGCCCAGAAATCTGCATTTTTTTTTTCCTTTTTGTCTTTTTTCATGACCGGCAACGGATCGCAACCCTCGGTGTTGCTCCCTGCACCTCGCTCAGCCAGTGAGTGGGAACCGGTCCATATGTGGGATCCAAACCCTCGGCAGGAGCGCCGCCGTGCTTCCCAAGCGGCACACTGTAGCAGTGCGCCACCGGGCCGGCCCAGAAATCTGCATTTTTAAACATACAACCCAAGTGATCCTTCTGCACTCTAACATACAAGGAGCCCTGGTAGATAGTTTAATAAGGACTATTTCAATCCTATTGCTTTAAAATATATATATATTTTTAAGACTAAATTAAATGTAAGAATATAATTTGATGTCAGTTAGATAAACTGTCTGTAGATTCAATAATAAACACAACTTTCTGCATGTATAATTTTCACACAGCTTAATGATTTTGTTATTATACTAAATTAAATGTAAGAATATAATTTGATGTCAGTTAGATAAACTGTCTGTAGATTCAATATAAACACAACTTTCTGCATGTATAATTTTCACACAGCTTAATGATTTTGTTATTATGCTTTTATCATGTTTAAAGACCATGGTGTTCTCAGAATGTCTATCTAGAAGTGTGTCTATGCTTTGCAGGTATCTGGGAGGCAATTACATTGCTGTCATAGAAGGTTTAGAAGGATTGCAAGAACTAAGAGAGCTTCATGTTGAGAGTCAGAGGCTTCCCCTTGGAGAGAAACTTCTGTTTGATCCAAGAACTCTTCATTCTCTGGCAGTAAGGCCACATTTGAATATTTTGACAAGGAATATAATGATTAGCAAGTTATAATGGGACAGGGAGGTGGTGAAGGTATATTTGGACATTGTACATACTCTGCATGTTCATATGGCCAGTTGAAAGTTTATTTTGAGAACTGAAGCTGATTTTCCCACATAATGTCTCAGAGATTCAACATCTATAGGGTGGAGATGATAATGCCTGCCTCTTTGGGTAACAAAAGAATCAAAAGAAGGATGTGAAAAGGTTATGTAAACTGAAGTTCTAATACAGATGTTAATTCATTAATAATTTGGACCTTGATGATTCTCATGGCTCAAAATTTAAAATTTTAGGAGAAAGCCTAAGGAAAGAGGACTGCACAATTATGTAGCAAATTTTACACAATCTAGAGAGCCATTGCAATGATAAGTCATTTTCTCTCTAGATCCTGATTTGATTATGGTTGCACTACATACAGCTCTGCCTCATCAGAACTAAGTAGGCCTAGGAGCACTGGGTTTGGGCTCTGACTATGTCACCCGACAACCAGTCACATTGCATGCAGGTGCCACAATAAATTGAGAAGCAGAGGGCACCACTGAGGCTCTTGCTAATCCTCAAAATAGGGAATTTGTTCTGACCCTACCTTTAATTTCATGGGCAGAAGACATAAATGGGGCGTGGTTGTTGTTTTACAAATTTCTGTCTGTTTTATTTCACAGGGCCCAGAAATGGAAGACAGTAGATTTTTATTTATTTATTTATTTTCTTTTATTTCTAGTGGATGGTTTTTGATCCAAAGTTATAACCGTTTAGAGGTAGTTCTTTAAATTGGAAAAGAAGTGACCTGGATTCTATCCTACCCCCTTCACACTTACCATAGAACCAACTGTCACCAACTTCAGCTCAACCTCAAGTGATACAATTAGACTGACCCCAGTGTGGGGATGGCTAGTTTTCTTACAAAACACCATTGAAAACATTTTTGCTGGTTCAATTTTTGCATAAATTCAATTAGATTCTGAAATTCTAAACATAAGACATCATTCTTTCAATTTCCAAATCTTAAAGGGTACTGGGAAGCGTTTTTTCTAAAGGTTGGCTGTGTGTGAATGCCTTGGCGGGTATTCCTGGGCCTTATATTTTACAATGACTTTGATTCAGTGTTACTGTATTCCATATTTATGTCCTCATTAACAGCTAACATCAATATTCTTGTTAAGTAACGAATTATTTTATGTTCTGAACATATGGATTGTCAAGAGAAAACTGTATAGAAAGGTAGAGATAAAAATGAAAACCAGACAGTCATTATGGTCACATTTCCTATTTAGAAAAACAAAGACAAAAACTGTCTCTTCTTATATAAGTAAAATCTTAGTGATAATTTGTTTATTTTATTTATTTGTTTATTTTTCTCTATCCCCCTCTGGACCTCCCCACGGTACTTAAGATAATTTGTTTAAACTGCAATAAGCATTTTTCTACATTGTATTATCATTTGTTTATTGGAGCATCTTTTTTCTTTTCTTTTTTTTTTTGCTGGCCAGTACACAGATCGGTACCACACTCTAATGACCTGAGCTAACTGGCCAGTTTTCTTTGCTTCTTGATTCCTGGCTTCCTTATTCTATAAAGTTGTCTTTATTTTGGAAGAGGAAAATAGGACTTATGTAGGAACTATAGGCAAAAAGAGTAAGTTATATCACATACTATAGTTCTAAAATTTCCATCTGAAAAAAATATGGGATGGAAACAAAAACTCCATGGCTTTTGATTCTCTTACCTAAATTGCAAAACAGCTTGAACTGATAAAACTTTTCAAGGATTAGGGTTTCTGGTTGCTATATATAGTATTTAGACTATTTACTAACGCTAATTTAGTTATTTTTCTTACAGAAATCTCTCTCTATATTGAATATCAGCAATAATAATATTGATGACATAAGAGACTTAGAAGTACTGGAGAATCTTAATCAGCTCATAGCAGTTGACAACCAACTTCTACATGTCAAGGTAGTATAAAGAATAATTAATTTTAAAATTTTTATATGAAATTCTGGTTGAAAAATACGTGTTGAAATAGCTATAAAATGTATCACTTCAAAAACTGTTCTGGATTTGTTCTAAAACTAGCTTATGAATCTCTGATTTGTAATGTATTTATTTGCATAATTCTGCCCTCTTATCTGGTTTTCTCTTCCACATCCCAATGCCTTCTTTCCTCACCAACAGAAAAAAAAGTTTCTCTGAGAAGAAAGTACAGATGGTCCCTGTCTTAAATGTTCACAACTGAAAAGGGGTTTTGTTGAATACAGATGAAAAAAGATAGAGAGGTCTAGGCTAAGAAGTAAAGTCCAATAAAGGGGTAATATTATTTGGGGATAGGCAATTCTGGGAGCTTTCTTTTCATTGAGTGATCAAGAACTGTGCAGTTTGAAAGTGGTTAAAATGGCCTGGTCACAAATACAGACCGTCCTGACTTAAAATGGTCCCACTTAAGATTTCTCAACTTCAAAATGGTATGAAAGTGATACACATTTAGTAGAAACTGTACTTCGAGTACCCATATGCCATTCTGCTTTTTCACTTTCAGTACAGTATTCAATAAATTACATGAGATATTCAACACTTTATTATAAAATAGTTTTGTGTTAGATAATTTTGGGCAACTGTAAGATAACGTAGGTGTTCTGAGCATGTTTAATGTAGGCTAGGCTAAGCTATGTTGCTTAGTAGGTTAAATGTATTAAATGCATTTTTGACTTAAAGATATTTTCACCTTAAGATGGGTTTATCAGGATGTAACTCCAGCATAAGTCAAGGAGCCTCTGTATATGCTTTTCCCCCTCTGTTTTATTTTTCCATCAAACTTTTCTTTCTAGAGATTATATTTCTTTCTCCTTAACTCTGACCTCCCAATGAATGAGTTTCTAATAACTCTGACTAGACCTGAACTCTCTCCTGGCTGCTCCTATTTGGGGAAGTACCCTGGATCTTGAACTTATTCTAATTTGTACTAGCTATATTCATGTCATGTTATATATCATACCATGCCATATTCATTCAATTATCCATTTATTCAAACATGTATTGGGCACCTATATATTTGTCAGGCACTATACTACTTGGTGTAGAACACAGGAAGGAAGGATACAGTCCCAGGTCTCAAGAAACCTACAGTCAACAGGTAATGAGACTATGACATGATTCTGTTTTCGTAAGTATTGCATTAGCTCTAACTCGGCCTGGAGCTAGGGAAGGCTTCCTGGAAATAGTCATCCATGAGCTGAGCCATTACTATAACCTCAAAGTTTCTGGTCTGGCAGTGGGATGGGCTATGGTTTAATTTCTTAACATGGGGACCACAGGAGGAAGAATGGACTTCTTTTCTCCATAAACAGAGCTCTTGTTTTCAGAACTACTGCCAGACAGCCATCTTCTGACCCTAAAAAAAAGTTACCATGGCCTTATTTCCAAATTCAGACCAATCACCTGGCTATTACCACAACTGCTATAAGCAATAGATAATTAGGAAAACAAATATATATATTTTAGTACAAATGAATTATTCAAATTATCAAAAATGCCACTGAACAATCAGGGTGGATTTTTAACATAAAAAGACCATTAGTAAGCTTGACTCACTCAGTTATTTCAACTTACAACATGAAAGATGTAAGGAGTTCATGGAATAAATTCTGAATTCAAAAACATTTTAAATTTTAGAGTGCTCTTCTAGACTTATTCATTGGGCATTTTGTATTCATTTTCAGAATTATGTTATTTTCCTATGATGTTGCAGTATTTGTAACAATAACATGATTTTATAATAGAATGATATTTATAATAGAATAATATGTATATACATATATACAGTACATGTGATCCTATTCAAAGTGATGTAGACTGGAGTATAGGTCTTTGATGTGAATAGAGATGACCTGGGCTAATGCAATGTCCCACATTGAACCCCATGAGAAATGGGTACAGAGTGGCCAAGCACAGAAGCTCACCTTTCCTTGGGAGAGAATGGTGGAGAATTCCAGTCTCCCAAACTGGCCTCAATTTTAACTCCCAAACTGGCCTCAATGTGCAGGATAAGTATTTTCCCTAAACGTTTTTGTGAGCCCAGGTTCTAAGCACAATGCTTGGGAAATAAATATTCAGTAATGGAGGGCCGGCCCGTGGCTCACTTGGAAGAGTTTGGTGTTGGTAACACCAAGGCTGAGGGTTCGGATCCTTATATAGGGATGGCTGGTTAGCTCACTTAGGAGAGTGTGGTGCTGATGACACCAAGTCAAGGGTTAAGATCCCCTTACCGGTCATCTTTTGGGGGAAAAAAAAAAATTCAGTAATGGGTGTTGTATATATGAATATATCTTGAAACATCTGGTTAGTTATCAATAATAATTACCAAGACTCAGTTTAGTTATTGTCTCTACTTTTAAAGTCTTACTCTATTATGCTTTCAACAGTGAACAGAGAAGGGGAATTTGATAACAGTATAAAATTAATAGCCTTCAAATGAACCCAAAGGAAGCTTCCTGCATAACATTAAGACCAAGCCCTTTTGCCTACAATGATTGCCCTTAGGCCATGTTAATAATGCATAACTAGAATAAATGTACAACCAAAATAAATACCTTTATTACTGCTGATTATTCAATCTAATGATCAATGTCTAAATAACCAAATCCTCATTTTTTAAGAATTAACTTGATATCCTCTGTGTAGCTTTTCCTGAATCGCCCCATCAAGTTAGTCTATTCAGAAATATTTATTATATTCTGTGTGCCAAGCATTTTTCTAGGCCCTTGGAGAAACATTTTCTAGGCCCTTGGAGAAACACTGGCGATACTGTGATAAATAACGCAGACATAGTCTCTACCCTAAGGAACTTATATTACAGTAGGGTGGGGTGGGGGGAGGAATAGTCTGAAAATACATAAGCAGAGAAGATTGTGAACAATGCTATGAAGGAATTAAATAGGATGATGTAACAGAAAAGGGGTCAGTGGATATTTTAGATGAGGTTGTCAAGAAAGGCCTCTGAGGGAAAGATATTTCCATTGAGATCTGAAGGATGAGAAAGAAGAAAGATGTGCAAAAGCTAGGGAAATAACATGCCAGTTATAGGAAACAGCTCATGCAAAGGCTTTGAGGTCAAAGAGAGTTTAGGATATCAAAGGAACCAAATAAAGGCCAGTTCACTGTGGTAGGGTCTCTAGTGCCTAGCTCAATTTCTGACACATTGTAGGTGCCTAATAAATAATTGTTAACTGAATGAAGAGGCAATAGTACAATATGAGATTAGAAATAAAGGCATAGGGGCCAGATCATAAAGGTCCTTTCAGGACATGATTATGAATTTGGGCTTTATTCTAAACGCAGTAGAAAGTTACAGAAAGGATTATATATTTTGAAAAGCTTTCTCTATCTGATATGTGAAGAATGAGTTTCAAGAATGACAGCAAAGAGATTGGTTGGGAGACTATAGCAGAAGTTAAGTAAGAGAAGATGGTTGCTTGGAGATGAAGACGAATGGGTGGATTGGAGATATATTTTTAGGAACAACCCATGTAACTTTTTGATGAGTAGAATGTAGGAATAAAGGAAAAGGAGAAATCAAGAATGACTTCTAGGTTTTTGTGAGGAACTGGAAAAACAGTGGTAACCTTTATGAGTTGGGGGAAACTAGGGAAGGAATAGAATTCCTCCTACTGAAATGCATATTGGACATTAAAATGGATATGTCATGTAGGTAGCTGGCATTCAAAGAGAAGTAAGATTGGAAGTTTGAGAGTCGACAGCATTTACATGATACTTAGAGCTATAAGACTAGGTGAAAGACAGTAGAAACAGAATAAATGAGGCCAAGACCAAGCATAGAAACACTCCAACATTTACAGATCGGTTAGAAAAGAAGGCTCCAGGAGGAGTCAGTGATGTAGGAGAAGAGAAAAAGGAGCTTCCTGAAAGAGAGAGTGGCCACTTGCATTGAATGATATTGAGAGGTTAACAAGAGAGCAGATAAAAGGCTAACAGAAATGCACTGGATTTGGCAACAGTGAGATTAAGTCTGGTCAAGTATGTTTCTTGCATATTTCAGAACAGAGTGCTTTAGCAGGTATTTGCATTGTTTTTTGTTCTAACCAAAGCTACATGAACCTCTTAGAAATTTATTTCCATATTACGGTTTCAGAAATTTCTTTCAGGCTTTTCATGAAATACTTCCCCATACCTGAAATTTCATTATATAAACTTAAGGGCAAAAGAAGAGAAAATTAAGACTACCTGGATAGAATACCTTAACAAAGTTACAGGGGACAAATTTAATTTGTGAAAAAGTTAAACCAGAGAGTTTATGGGTCACAAACCACAGCAGAGGGTAATGCTGGAAATAGGCTGAATAGTGAAATGTGAGAGGGCAAATTCTTCCCTCCCTTCATGAACACAATCCAAGCCCTACTCCCAAAACCCTGCCCCCATGGCTTAAAAACCTTGGCCAAGAGTTGGAGGATTCCTCTTTATGGAAACTGACCCACCCAAGAGAAAACATTTCCCAATTCTGACATTTAAGGATTCCACAGGGGAAATGCTGGGTGCCTGATCACTTGCTTTACAGTGAGACCAACCAGTCAACAAGCTTTCTGCCCTCACACAAACAGCTCGCATTCACTTTCATGAATGAACAGGCAGCTCAGGACCAGCAGACAACTGAAAACAGCTTGTGCAATCAAAGACAGACAGACAGAAACAAAAGAAGAACTTAGAAGAAACAAAACATATGGAAGCAGGGAAAAAAACTTAAAAATCATATATAATAATTTCCTAAGAGGAACAAAAAGGATGCCATAACTTTGAAATGAAAACAGGATTCTTTTTATTTTTTAAAAAAGGAACATTAAGTGAATAAGCAAGCACTTAGAAATTAAAAATGGGATAGGATAAATTAAATATTTGATATGAAGTTTAAACTATAAAATTGAGGAAGTCTCCAAGAAAAAACAAAA